GGCAGGGGTTCCCCATCTTGACTCCTCCTTGGGTCTGTGCAGCGCCTTCGTCCCTTCTCCAGAGGGAAGGTTCCCTGGCTGGCTGGTTGTCATCTAGTTCTGTCCTGGGTGCCTCTCAAGGTCACCCTAGGGATCCCTCCTTCCTCAAAGTCACTTGGAAGTGGAGGTGGGAGGGATGGGCCTCTGTTTCTTGCTCTGATGCCCGGGAGAAGACCCCACCTCCACTCAGTCCTCCCAGGAGAGGACGTGGGGGAGGGGGAGGGGGAGAGGGAGACCCAAACTTCAGGCAGCCTGCCTAGGTGTGACTCTTAGCTCCCTCACTGTGTGGCCCTGGGGACAGTCTTCCTGCCTGTGCAGTAGGGATGAGGACCAGAGTTCTAACCTCACAAGACTTTGTAAAATTTTTTTTGGTACCAGGGATTGAACTCAGGGGCACTCAACCACTGAGCCACATCCCCAGCCCTTTTTGGTATTTTATTTAGAGACAGGGTCTCACTGAGCTGCTTAGCACCTTGCTAAGTTGCTGAGGCTGGCTTTGAACTTGCGGTCCTCCTGCCTCAGCCTCCTAAGCCCCGTTGGGGGCAGGCAGGGGAGGTTTACAGGTGTGTGCCACTGTGCCCAGCCCTCACAGGACTCTTGTTGGGAGTACTGACATAGCACATGGAAGGTAGTTTGCAGAGTGCCTGCTCCTCAGAAACTCTCCATAAATGTGAGTTACTGATACGATCTAGCCAGACAAAGCTAAAGGGGTCTTATAGGTCACCTTGTCCTGGTTCAGAGGGACAGGGTTTCTTCTTTTGGGTTTTATCTTTGCTACTGAGGCTGGGGATGAGTGAGTGGGAGCCCAGCATTCTAGCAAGTGGCCTGACACCAGGAACCTCAGCAGGAAGGAGCAGAGTGGTCAAGGGCATTGACTGAAGTCAGAGGCCAAGTCCACACCCTCCTCCTGCGTCACAGCTGAGTGCCCTTGGGCATTTTCCTTCACCTCCCTGAATCTCTGTTTTAGCTTCTGGGTTTTGCTACTGCAGATTGAGCCCAGGGACACTTTACCACTGAGCTCTATCTTCGGCCCTTTTTATTCTTAATTTTTAAAAATTTACATATATTTTTAATTGTAGATGGACACAATATCTTTATTTTGTTTATTTATTTTTATGTGGTGCCGAGGATGGAACCCAGCGCTTCACAGGTGCGAGGCAAGCACTCTACCGCTGAGCCACACCCCAGCCCCCTTTTTATTCTTAATTTTGACATAGGGTCTTGCTAAATTGCGTAGGGCTCACCAAATTGCTGAGGCTAGACTTGAACTTGAGATCCTCCTGCCTCAGCCTCCTGACTTGCTGGGATCACAGGCGTGTACCACGCGCCCAGCTCTCCTTACTTCTCAGTGTTGGTCATACCTATATGGCGAGCTGTTCATGTACCTGTTAGAACTTACTTATTGGTCATTTCCCATGAGCCAGGCCTGGAATAGGGGCTGGATGTCACAGAGATAATAATCAGATAGATCCTTGTCCCCATCGAACTCACCTTCTTGTAAGTGGGAACAGACAATAAACAGGGTAACGAATTGTGTTAGCTTTCCGTCACTGTACCAACACACCTGAGAGAATCAACTTTAAAAGAGGAAAGGTTTATTTTGGTTCAGTTTTGGAGGTTTGGCCCATTGTCAGTCGGCTCATTGCTTTTGGGCCTTGGTGAGGCAGCATGTCCCAGCAGGAGTGCGTGGCCGGGGAGGCCCTTACCTCAGGGTCACCTGGAAGCAAAAACAGAAGCAAGAGGGGTGTAGGCTCCAATTTTCCCTCCAAGGACATACTCCCAGTGACCCCTACTTCCTCCCACAAGGCCCCACCTCTTAACAGGTTCTGCCACTTCCCAACAGTGCCATGGGCTGGGGACCGAGCCTTTCTTCCTGGGGCCTTTGGGGGGACCCTTATTCAAACTTTAACACAGGATGGTGTAGGAGGTTGAGGCAGGCTGGACTTGGGGAGGTGGTGCCAACATTACACAGCCTGGTCAAGGAAGGCCTCTCTGAGGAGGTGACATCTGAGTGGCCATCTGGAGATGAGGAGCCCCTATGGGATGCTCGGGGCAAGGCAGCCTCCAGGCAGCTGGGCCAGCAAGTGCACAGGGCCTGAGGCAAGAGCATGCTGGGTGTGTTAGAAGAGCGGCTGCTGGCTGGGGCAGGAGGAGGGCGGAAGGGCAGGGGCCAGGGATGTAGGTCCTAGTCAAGAGTTTGGATTTTATTCTAAGTGGGTTGAAGATCCCTAGGAGATTTTTAGCAGGGAAGAGATGTAATTAAATTGATATGTTAGAAGGATTCCTCTGGCTGATGTGTGCAGGGGAGACCAGTGGGCCAGGATGGCAGAGGGAGCCCCTGCTGAATTGCCCAAGTTGGAGAGGAGTCACCACCCCTCAGCCTGGCCTGCCGCAGGCCCCAAGAATGGAACCGAGAGAAGGCTTCAGGCTTCTGAGAGCTGCATCCTGGGGACGTGGGTGTTGGGAGGGGGTGAGGGACGCTGGGCGAACCTGGCCTGGGTGGAGTCTCTCTCCTTCTCTCTCTGAGAACGGCTGCTGCTATTACTCCCTGAGGACTTTACATAATTCTGGCCCGGGTCCCTCCTCATTATGTCATGCGCTGAGCAGAGTCTAGGTCACTCCTCTGCAGGCTGTTGGGGGTGGGCGGGAAGGACAGGCTCTGTCTCCTCTGGCACCGAGGGGGCCAGGCGCAGACCCCCTGGTGCTGCGGAGTGGGTGGAGGTGCAGTCCGGCCCGGACCAGGCCAGCTCTGCCGGCAGCTCCAGCAGAGGCCAGGCGCCCGCTGGCCACCCTGGCCAAGAGCGGTGGGGGTTTCGCCGGGAGGCAGGGCTCCCCAGAGCTGGGACCTCGTCCCTGAGCTCAAGAATCTGCAGAAGAGGCGCGGGGTCTGAACCTCAGTTGCCTCCTCCAGAGACCCTCCAGCTGTGGGCATGCGCGGCGTCGGTGGGCTGGCACGGGAGGCAGAGCTTGGGCACGGTGGAGGCCCTTCTGAGGACAGAGGCCCAGAGGCGCTGGGAGGAGGCTGGCAGAGCAGAGTCTCCCTGGGACTTATCTGGGGTGTCCTGGGCCCCAGCCCCATGCACCGCTGGAACGGGAAGGGCTTCGGGCGGGGCGCTCCCTGGGCAGCAGGCGGGGCGGCAGGCGGCCCTGGGAGCGGGTCCTTGTCCACCCCGTGCACCCGTCCCGGTTTTTCCACTGTTTTTTTTTTTTTTTTTTTTTTAATAGGAAAACAGCTTGTTTTTTTTCAGTTTTTAGGAAACTTAAACCCCAGTTGCTGCCGCCCCTCCCATCCTCGGAGAGCGGAGCTGTCGTGTCCTACAGTCCTCGCGGGTGGGTCCATTTTCTAGGTGCGGAGACTGAGGCCCGCGGGTCCTTGTGCATGCGCCTCCCCTCCCTGCGCTCCAGTGACTGCACCCCGATACCTCCGCTGCCCGGTGGAAGCCCCCGGGTTGTCCTGGTCCCCAAGCCCTCACCACTGCGAGGCCAGAGCGTGGTGAGGGGACGGAGGAAGCCACCCTGGGAGTGGATCTCCGGCCGGGGACAGGGCCTGGATCAGGGGCAGCGGGGTGGCCGGGCCTCCCCAGCTCAGTGGGTTCAGGTTGCTGACTCAGTGTCCCCTGGGGGCGGTGGAGAAGTCCGCCTCCCGTCCCCAGAGTGCTTAGATTCCTGTTAGATCTTTAAATTTTATGTAAATTCCTTTCCCCCCTTGGAAAGGGGGTGGTGGTGTTTAATTAGCAGCAGTGTCAAAGGCGGGCTGAATTAATTACTGGAAATCCCGAGCTCCACCTGGTTTCAATTTGCACAACAGGGTACCGGGGGCTATATTTGTGATTTTTTTTTTATTAAAATCATACCTAGAGTATTTTAGGGGCACTGAGGTACACATTTTGTGGCTCCAAGGATACTGTACTCAGGAATTTGGGGCTGTGATGTTTGTTATGGAGAAGCAAGTCCCTTGTCACTGGAATTAAACTTTTGTGGGTGAGGGAGGGGCAGGTGCTGGGAAGCAGAAGGTCAGGGAAGGCAGAGAGAGAATTACCACAGCCAAAGAAAGCAGCTGTGGGAGGGGAAGTGCTGCTGGGGGAACCAGACATGGGGGTTCGCAGCCAGAGAGCAAAGGGAGCTCAGAGAGGTTGTATGACCTACTCAAGTCACACAGCACCCTGTTGGGGAAAAGTGTGGACTGGCAGAGGGAGGGGAAGGGTCTGGACAGAGCATGTCTATTGGAGGGACAGTCACCCTTTAGTTTCTTGAGCTCCCATTCAGTCAGGGGTTTAGAGGCTCCACACTGGTTACCCAAAGGGAGGCCTTGTGGAACACGGTGGTCTAGCATGGTGTGTCCTACCCTGGAGGAGGAGGAACTGGGTCCTGATTGGGACTTCTGGCCCTTGGGAGATAGTTAGTTACCCTGTAGCTTTGGTGCCCAACAGGAGGGAAGTGGAACATCTTGAATCCCTTTCCCTGGGCATGTGCCTCCTCCCAGTGTCTTGCTGCATCGAGGGCAGAGATGTCGGGGCACCTGCAGGGGTTCCGGTGTCTGCCTGGGGGAAGAGCCTCCAACTGACTTGTGTGTGCTCGTGAGTCGGCCTGCTCCCTGCATCCCGAGACCGAGGCTTCTCAGGGGTGCCGCTGTCCGACCTGCGGCAGGGAGGGGAGTGGGGGTACTGGAGAACTGGGGTGATGGGGAGGAGGGAACATTGGTGTCTAGCCACGGGGCAGAACGGCAGCAGGAGCCCTCTGGGTCCCACATAGGAGCAGAGAGGCCGGAAGGTGGGACAGATGCCCCCAGCATCCTTCTCTGGGCCCTGGGGGCAGGGTGCTTTCATGGGACCTGACAGAGGCCTGTCTCCTGCCTGATTTGGGGGGACAGAGGGACCAGGGATAGAGTCAGGGACCAGGTTGCTGAGCCTTTAGGACTAGACTTTAAAAAACCTGTCTTGTTCTCCTTCTGCCCTTCCAAGCCCAGCTCCTAGTGGAGACGGACACCTTCGGTAGCCAAGTGCGGATCAAGGGCAAGGAGACGGAGTTCTACCTGTGCATGAACCGCAAAGGCAAGCTCGTGGGGAAGGTGAGTGGTGGCCTGCGTTCCTGGACCTGGGGGCTGGGCCGGTGGGGTCCTGCCAGCCCCATGTGGAAGGCCGAAGGGGGTATGCCTGCGCGGGCCCTGTTCCCACGGGCACCTACTCCTGCCCTTCTCTGTGCCAATACCTGCAGCCAGCCAGGCGCGTCGGTGGCTGGACTCTGGTCACAGGCAGGGCCCTGGTCTCTCCTGGCGGGCGGGAGACCTGGCTTGCTCAGCCCTGAGAGAAGTCTAAGGGGCTCTGTGGCCTCCTTCCTACGTGTCCCTGACGTCTGCGAAGAGGGACGGCAGCCCAAGGGCTGTGGCTGCAGCGATCATTTTAACAATCGCCAGGGGTTTAGAGCGCCGCCCAGCAGCGGCCTCCGGAAGCCGGCCGCCTCGTCAGCGCCGGGCCTCACGGTTCTAGCATTTCAGGAAGATTTTATTACTTTGGAACTGGCAAGAGAGCCGCATGTAACAAATTAGGGCCGGGTTGGGGCGCGGGTGGGGTGGACCCAGGGCTGGGGGCGTGAGCTGCTTCTCTGTGTTCCTCCTCTCTTGCTTGCTTGCAAAGGTCACCCTCTGCTACCCCTGGGGGTTAAGTGGAAGGTGCCTCTGGGGTAGCTCTGTGAAGTCAGGTTCTGTCTTCTCTCTATAGGGACTCTTCTCACCCTCCTCCTTGGGACAAAGCCCTGGGGATTATCTTTGCTCATGGGGCCTTGTTGGGGTAAAGGGAGCTGCCCTCTTGTGAAGGCAGGTTTGATTTCCTGAATCCCCAGCTCTTATCCCCGCCCCATACCCATACTGGCCAGGGAGGTGCAGGGAATTGTCACATGCTGGTACCGGCTTCCTTTAACTGAGCACCTACTTTCTTCCAGGCATTGAGCAAAAATGCTTCCAAATAATCCCAGAGATTGGTACCAGCACCATCCCTATTTCACAGGTGGGAAAGCAGAGGCTTGGCCACATCCAGGGGCACTTGTCCCAGATCCCACACTTGAACTAGGCGGGATTCAATGCCTAGTTTGGAAGGAGATTCCAGCTGCACTGCACGTACCAGCCCAAGCAGCTCAGAGAACAAAATAATAGTAACCCAGAGCGGCGGGGATGGAGGAGTGGTTTTAATTAGTGATTCACTCAGCCAGCGCGAGGCGGGCCGGCGAGGGGGTCGGGGCAGGGGCCGGGCGCGGGCGCCGGGTCCCCTGGCCTGGCCAGTCCCCTGGCCGGCTGGCTGCTTCCTGCGGCGGCGGCCCAGCCCCGCGTCAGGCACTTTGTTCTGCTGCCCGCCTGGGCCTCCTCCCAGGCCCAACCTGCTTTGAGTTTGAGGCTCGTTTTTCTCTTTTGCTCCCCAAAGAAGGGACTGGCGGCACCTCCCGTGCCCGGTGCCCACCAAGCCGCCTCGCCCGGTTGTTCCCGGCATCCTGACCCCAGGAGGGCCATCTTGGGGTCAGAGGAGAGGCTGTCCCTGGGCCATCCCGCCGCCCTCCGCCCCTGGGCTGGCCGCTGAGTCACCGCTTCCACAGGAGCCGGCTCTGATTTCCTGCCCCCTGGCCCTCTCTCCCGTCATTAATATTGGTGACGGTTCAGCTGGCGGGCTGTGGGCAGGAGGAGGCCGCCGGGCCCCCTGCCGCTCCCTCCTCTGCCCTGGGGCCCCAGCCCCAGCTCCTTTCTTCAGTGCTGACCCTGCCCAGGGTGCCCCGTCCACCTGTCCCACTCCCTGGCTGGCCAGGCCCGCCCCCTCTGGCCCCCGAGGCTGGGATCGAGCCCCTTGGGCTGCTGTCCGGGCCACGCCCTCCTGGCTGCCAGGCCCAGGTCCTGGGATTCCCCTCCTTGATGGCTGGGGTGTGTCCTTCCTTCCCTGCCACCGCCTGGTTCTGGCCCCACACCTTGCCAGAAATGGCTGCTCCGGCCACCTCCCGGTGTGGGTTCCCAGGCTCCTCGGCTGCCCAGGCTTGTCCTGCCCACGCTTAGAGACCAACGCCCTCCACCTCCGGCCCAGAGCACACCCCCAGGCCCCAGAGTCTGCCCTGGCCGGTGGCCTTCCTTCTGGCTCAGCCTTCAACTACCTCTAGCCATCCCTGGCCCTTGGTCAGTCTCCCCCAGAGTCCTCCCCCCACCCTTCCCTGCCCCTCTGCTCACCTGGGCTGTCACCGCCTGTCCTGGGTCTGTTTCCCCCACCAGCTTGGGAGCTCCTGAGGGTCAATTCGGGATCCACCTGCCCACGTTCAGCAGAGGGGTTCCAGGAGCAGCAGAGAAGTAGGAAAGGTTCTTGCTTTCTGAGGTCGACCCTGCCTCCAGCCAGAATGGCCTCCGTGGGAACCCAGGGTCAGAAGGCTCCCCTGGCCCTGAGGCTCAGCACCCTCCTTGTGAAGCAAGGATGTGGGACTCCATAAAGTTGATCCTTTTCCCCTCGCAGCCAGGTCACCAAGCTACTCCTTTAGCTTGGGGACCCCTGGCCTCGGCTCCTGTGCAGTGGCCCAACAGGGCAGCTTCCTGACCCTGGTGCTGACCGTGGGCATCGCTGGCCAGAGCCCGCATGCAGTCAACCCCTCTGCTGCCTGTGTCAGTGGTGCCCAAGCCCTACCCATGAGCCCCTGCGTGCTCAGGCCACTTCTCTGAAGCCACATCCACCTGGCCCAGGACGGCACTTCCTCTCACTCCAGAGTGGTTTTCAGAGTCTAGCAATACGACCATTGAGGGGTCCTCTTGGGGCAGCAAAGAGCTTCAGACCCTTTTAGGGTAGGGGGCTCCCTGTCCATCAGCATACCTTTAAGACCACTTTGGTTGTAAGTAACTGAAACTCAACTCAAAATGCTTCAAGCAGAAAGAGTTTTTTGGCTTACATAGCTAAAAGAGTCTACGGGTCTGGTTTTACGTAAGGCTTGATCCAGGGACCAGATGATGTTATCAGGATTTAGTCTTCAGATCAAATAGAAGGACTCAGAATCCAGTGTGGAAAGGAGGTCGGAGGTGGGAGTCGGGGGAGGGGATCGAATTCTACTGTGTCACTGAGGTGCTGGGAGGAGCTGTTGACTTCCTCTCAATATGGATGCTCTGCTGCCTGAGCCAACTGAATCCGTGCTTCTGGGGCTGGGGCCTGCGTGTGTTTCAGTCCGAGCAGGGGATCAGCAGGCCACACCTGCTGTCAGGAGCAGAGGCGAGGGTCGGGCTCAGGTGTGGCCAGCTGCTGGTCCTTACCCACTTCTGCCTGTGCTCCTGGTGGGGCACTGGCATCACCAGAGAGACACCTCCCAGCTGTTCCTAAGCGGCCCCCAGTGCTCTGGGGGAGCCCAGCCTGCGGCCTCTGAGCTCTGGTGCTGTGTTCTAGCGCCTTGAACAGCCGTCTGTGGGCTGATGGCGGCTCTGTGGGTTTGGGGCAGGGTTTGGTAGGCAGTGTCTGCTCTTCCCTGCCCTGTCTGCCCATGGACTTCTCTGGAATAGACAAAGGAGAAGTGAGCAAGTCCAGCTCTGCAGGCCCCGTGACCTTGGGCAAGCCCCTTTGTCCAAGGCGAGCTCTGTTTCCTCCCTTGGGCAGAGGGTGGACCTCGCCTGTTAAGAGGAAGAAGTGACACCTGGACGTGGCCATGTCTGACCTGTGGTCAGCGACACATAGATGCTGAAGGAATGCGTAGGGAGACTAGCGGGGCCAGTAAGGGTCTCCAGCCCTCCTCTTGCTCTTCCTCCCTAATCAACGTGTCCCCCAGGAGGGACATTCTAGGATATCGCTGGGCACTGGTCAAGCATCCGGGAGGTGGAGTCTGTTTTCTTTAGATTTGTTTGTGTCACCCCCACCGTATCAGTGAGGCTCTCAGACATCTACCTGTAGGTGCCATGGCCGTCCCTGGCTTGGGCTAAGGAGGAGGCGGAGACGCTGGATGGTCTGGGGCGAAGGCGCCCAGGGGGTTCAGAAGAGGAGTAGAGAGCCTCGTAAAGGAACCAGGGAGGAGGGGAGGAGGCCTGGGAGCTGAAGGGCGCTGGCCGGGAGCTTCCCAGAGGAGGCGGGCACACAGCTGACCCCTGAAGGGTGAAAGTGCTCCAGGCAGGGTCCTTGGGTGGGGCAGGCAGCATGGCCAAGCCTTTGTCCCCTTTGCTCTGATTGTTTCTGAAGACCAGTTGAAGAACCTGAACTCAGGTTAGACAGGCAGCTTCCAGAATTTTCCTTGGGAGACCAGAGCCCGGGCACCACTCCCCTCGCCTGCCTTTGCATTTCCTGGCTGGCCTCCCAACGTTCCCTCACTGGTCCCACTCTCACTGTCCCCTGGGTCCCAAGGGTGTCTCCAGGCCTGCGCCTGTCCACTCTGCGGTCTCTTCCCTTTCTGCAAGCTCAGCGCGTCTGCAGGGCCCTGCCTGCCCTCCGCTCAGAGGTGAACGTTCCTGGGAGCTGCAGCCCGTTTCCCACTTCAGACAAAAGGCTGGAGCCTGCACCTCGGTCCGCACACAGCCAGACCTCTGGCTTCCAAGTTGGCCGGGCGGCCATCCGGAACGAGGAGTGGGCTCGGCCTGAATGTGGAGACGTTGGTTGGAAACTCGAGGGCTGCTGACCCAGGCCTTCCCATGTGTTTCCGCACTCGTCCCCACCGAGCCAACTGGCTGGCTCCGGGAAGTGACACGAAGCCCTGCCAACCCCACTCTCTGTCCAGGCACATCCACGAAGCCAGGCCAGTCCTGAGAAGCCCCCTGTTCTTTAATATTAACCTGAGCATGTCCCTCCTGTGGCTCAGGCTTGCTTAGAAGCAGCGTTCCTCAGTGATGGTCCCATTGACGGTGAGGAATCTGAGGTGGGGAGAGTGCAGGTGGCCAGACACGAGTTCCCCTCTGGGTGGCACGATGGCCGCTTCTGTTTCAGCCTTATGGATTCCTCAAGTTTAAATAGGCCTCTGTTTTTCGAGGTCACTTATGCAAAGGTCTGAAGCCACCCTGTGAATGGATGACCCGGGTCAGGTGGCCACTGTGAGCCAGTCACGGAGGCCACTTGTCACACTGGCTCCTCTGAGCTCTGTCCCTCGCTCCTGCGCTCCTGTCTGTCACCTCCTCCTGTCAGAGACTCTGCAGGGCCAAACTTTGGTCAGGCTGCTGAGGCTTTTCCTGGGTCCACTGTGCAATGCAGTTCTGCCCTTGACACTTGGTCACTCTCCATATCTGACAGCTCCACCTCCCCCCAGGTGATGTCTGGTCGCACTGGCCTGCCTTCATTAGGTTGCTGCCACTAGAATCCCCCTGACCCTGACATTTCCTCTTAGTCATCTCCATCCTCTGTACCCACTGTGCTCCTCAGCTGTGAACTCTGGCTTGCCTGTGCTGTGCTGGGAGTTGAGCCCTGTCTCTCTTCCTTGCTGCAAAATCCCATCGCCACAGCCTCTGGACTGTGGTCCACAAGGACCATTGGATCGTTTTTCTTTAACACTCTTCCTCTCTCTCCTGCAGCCTGATGGCACCAGCAAGGAGTGTGTGTTCATCGAGAAGGTGCTGGAGAACAACTACACGGCTCTGATGTCTGCCAAGTACTCTGGCTGGTATGTGGGCTTCACAAAGAAGGGGCGGCCTCGCAAGGGCCCCAAGACCCGGGAGAACCAGCAGGATGTGCACTTCATGAAGCGCTACCCCAAGGGGCAGGCAGAGCTGCAGAAGCCCTTCAAGTACACGACGGTGACCAAGCGGTCTCGGAGGATCCGCCCCACACACCCTGGCTAGGCCGAGGCCTGAGGCCCCCCGGACCCACTCACACTCCCCGAGAACGGCATCAGAGGAATATTTTTACACGAAAAATAAGGAAGAAGCTCTATTTTTGTACATTTGTGTTTAAAAGAAGACAAAAAAAAAAAAAAACTGAACCAAAACTCTTGGGGGGAGGGGCGATGGGATTTTACTGTTGACTTGAAACCCCCGGTGACAAGACTCACGCAGAGGACTGCTGTCAGCCCACGGGTGCCTGCCCCTCTCGCTGCAGGAGTGCAGCTCTAACTTGTCCCCAGAGGACTCAACGAGGGAGCCGACACTCCGAGAAACCAAAGTTCTTTTTCCCAAAGGTTCTGAAAGCAAAGAAAGAAGGAAAAGAATAAAGAAAAAAAAAAAAAAAGAGAGAAAGTAGGGCCCCTTCCCACAACGTCCCCATGTCCCCAGCCCAGCCCTGCCCAGACTCAACAAAAATCGCTCTCTGGTTTGCAGTCAGTTATTTATTGTCTGCTGTCCCGAGACACCGCGCAGGGGAGGCGCCCAGCGCTCCGCGCCCGACTCCGACGACAGACGGCCTCGTCCAGCCGCGGCGCCCTGCGCGTGCGCGGTGCTGGAGGACGCTGCTGTGGACCTTCTCGCTCACGTGACTAGTACACCAATGATAAGGGGATACTTTAAAACCAGCTATATTATATATATATTATATATATAAGCTATTTATTTCACCTCTCTGTATATTGCAGTTTCATGAACAAGTATTACTGCCTCAACAATTAAAAACAACCGACAAATTATTTAAAAATCCACGAGGCGAGTGGTGGCTGGGGTGGGCTGGGCGGGGCAGCTGCTCCGTGTCCTGTGGGTCTTAGTCTTTGCTCCCCGGCTGGGGCCTTGGGTCATTTGTTCCTGGATTCCCTCAGCGCTCAGCACTGAGCAAGCAGCCTCAGAGAGAGGACAGTCTGACGGGACACTGTGACTGTCACCCAGCATTTCCCGTGCATGGCCTACGGGCCAAGGTTCAGAGCCCATGGGGAGCATCACTTTCAGGAACCCAGTGGGACCTCCCTTCATTTGTTGATTTAGTGAAGGCTTCATCCACTGAAATGTGTTCATGAAGCACCTAAGTGCCAGGCAGTCCCCTAGGTCTGGGAGGTTATTGAAGAACAACACACACACATACACAGAGTCCTGCCTCACAGATGGGCTAGACCAGGGGACATAGTCAGTGGGTCCAGGTCAGTTTGGCACCTGGGATTTCTGTCCTCAGACTCGCGCCTGGGGGGCGAGGAGTGTGGCTCCAGCGCCTGTTCTCCAGGTGGCCCCAGGTTGAGAGCAGATGGGAGGCGCGGGCCCTGAGCCTGGGCTGAGTGGGAGACTCGGCTCTCTGGCTTCTCCTGGCTCCAGCCCACGTCTCTTCCTGGTAAACTGTGTTCCTCGTGGGACAGCAGAGTGACCGAGGCCTCTGACCCCTCTTCTGGGGTCCTGCTGCTGTCATCTGCCTCTCTTGAAAGCTCCTTCCCCTGAGACTGGCCAGACAGGTCCCCACGAGGCCCTTGGAGAGGAGGGGACAGGGCAGGGAAGGGTTCCCTGCTGGGCTGATGCCAACGTGGAGGTGCAGAGCCCCTCTCCCCCCAGGCCCTGCCCGCATGCCTGTGTCCACTTCCCGCCCAGCTCTGGACACTTCCTTAGAGCCTGTGAAGTTCTGGAGGTGGGCAGCCTCCCTGAGCCCTCGGGAGCTTGCGTGGAAGGTACAGTTACTACCCCAGGTTTTAGATGAGGAGACCGAGGCTGGGAATCTCCAAGCCAGGTGTCCAGGTCGCTAGATGAGGACGTGGTGGGGCCCCCTCTCTATGTGGCTGCTCCTTGGTGGGAGCCTCTGCTTCAGGCGCATTCTGGTGGCTTCCTGGGCACTGGGCCAGCATGTCCATCTGTAGCTCAGTGGGGGAGAGGTGCTCCCACCTTGACAGATGAAGAGACTGCCCGGAAAGATCATCCACTGGCCCAGGCCCCTCAGTAAGCAGGTGACAGCCAAGACCCTTGGGATGACCCTTTCTGTCACTGTGACAGAAGGCCTGAGATAACTGCCTAAGAAGAGGTTTGTTTGGGCTCAGTTTGGAGGGTCCAGTCCGTGATCATTTGGCCCTCATGTTTTGGGCTTGTGGAGACACAGCACATGGGGGGACAGTCCCTGTGCAGATCCAAACTGCTGTCTTCATGGCAGAAGCAAAAGAGAGAAAGAGGAGGCCCGAGGCTGCTTCAAGGGCACAGCCCAGAGACCAAGGGCCGCCCCCAGGCCCCACCCCGCACAGTGGCCCCTGGGGAACCTCGCCCTGAGTCCCTGAGCTTGGGTCCTGACCCAGAGCGCAGCCCCCGAGGTTCTGTCGTCCCCAGGCAGCGGTCCTGTGTCGCGCCTTCACTCTCCATCAACGCCGTTTATTGAAACAACCTCCCTGTGAGGAAGACGCTCTGTGGCCTCAGCACTGGAAGGTTCCGCGTGGAATTAAGGCGTCAAGCGGCGCAGCGCTGCCCCAGGTCCCACGCTCATTCCCTCCCCACCCCGCAGACGGGGTTCACTCCTGCCGGGGGCCGGCGTCACACGGGCACCACGACCTAAAGGGCCGCTGCCCTCAGGGCGCGTGCTTCCCCTGGGGACACGGACAGAACCGAGCAGGCCAACCCTGGGGGACACAGAGTCCAGCCCAGGAAAAATCAGGCCAGGTGGGGGCGGGGCTGCTGCCGGGGGCGGGGCTGCGGAGGTGGGCTTTCTGAGCAGGATTGAAGGAGGAGGGAGGATCCCCCTCCACGTGGAGGGGAAGCAAACTCCAGGCGGAGGGGACAGAGGGCTGGAGCCTGCAGGGCTCTCAGGGGACAAGGAGGCCTGGGGACAAGGAGGCCTGGGGCCAGAGCAGGGTGAAGGGAGGGGGCACTGGAGGGATGCAGAGTGACCGGAGCTTTGGCTTGGCGTGCGATGGGCAGCCAGGCCTGAGGGACCTTGCACTTTAAAGGAGAAGGAAGGACAGATGCTAGCCTAGTAATGCCCAGCACCCTGAGCCTGGCAAGCTGGGCATCCACCCTGGCCCTGGGCTGCCTGCTGCTGCTGGCTCTGGCGCCCCTCCCAGCACACGCCAGGCCCTCCCCAAAGCCTTGCCCCTATTCCCCTGGGGCTGTAGGGCCTGTGGTCATTTCCTCTTCTTGCCTCTTTAGAGTCCCCTTCGCGGGAAGATGTGGGCCTGGCTCTGTTTAGATAGAGCTTCCTGGACATTCCCGAGTTACAAGGAACATGTTCATGATGAGCACCGTGGACAGCAGGGAGCTCTTCCAGCCAGGATGGTGGCGTCTTAGGACACTTGCTGGGGGAGGAGGCTGTGGGGCCTCCTTAGTCGTAGTCCGCGGGGGCAGGGAACTCCAGTTCTAGCAGCTGCAGCCGCGCCCTCCAGAGTTCCTGTTCTGAACCAAGCACAATCTCGTTGGCCCCCCAGGTGGTCTGAGGCAGGTGTTCTCAGCCCCATTTTACAGAGAGGCTCAGAGATGCAGTCACCTGCCTGAGGTCCTGCTGCCAGTAGACAGAGGAGCTGAAATCGGACCTGGGCCAGTCTGTCCAGGTCTGGTTGCTTTCTGCTCTCCGACTCTCTCCAGGTGTCTCTCTCAGTACCAATCCACCGGCTCTGTCTCAATGCCCATTGTCTCCCCCACCCCCCAGGGAGGACAGATACAAGTTGTATTCCCGGTGCCTGGGGATGGGTCTCCCCAGCCCCCTGCACCCTCCAGGTGACTGTTTCATGGAGTGTCCAGAGACCTGGGACCTGGAGCCCCTGAATATCTCTGGCCACTTTGCCTGCTGGGCAGTCTGGGAGTGGCACGCTCAGGGCCCCATCACCTTTGACCTTGCAGGGCTGATGTTATGCTAAAGAAAAGCAAAAAGTTCTTCCTTCTGGAAAGGCCTCTGCCAATGCTCCCTCCTGTCCTCCCTCTGCTCTTTCCAGGAGGAGGTGGCTCAGACTCAGAGAGGGGGAGTGCCTTGCTCCAGGTCACCCAGCGAGTGACGACAGAGCCTGTTAGATGCCCAGTTAGTAGTTACGACCTAGGAGATGCAGACGGAGGCGAGCCTGGGGCCAGGACACCCTCTCAGCATCCTTCCAAGTTGGTTTCTAGGATCCAAGTGAGCAGAGAGCAGGGCAGAAGGTGGCCGTGGCACTGGTCCTCAGCCCCCGCCCCTGGTGACAGTGCCCAGGGTCTGCGTGCTGAGCCAGGAGAGGTGGACCCGGCCTTAGTGTTTCAAGGGACAAGAACAACAGTGGGCCCCAAGTCCAGGACACACATGGGTTTGGGGATAAGATGCCCTTACACCTCCCCCACTGTGGGTCTTCTGCCCCTGTGACTGACCCTCTTCCTACTCCATAGCTGCCCTTGAGGTCACCATAACGTGCCACTCCCTAATCTGGCATGGGGCTCCCAGGAAGGTGAGTGCTTGGCATTGTCCCTGTTACCAGGACCCCCGTTCCATGGGCACAAGAGCCTGGGAGACTCAGGCCATGGAACAGACTCGAGGTCCCCCGGGAGAAAACGGCACAGCTGAGACTTTTTTTTTTTTTTTTTGAGACAGGGTGTGGCTATGTTGCCCAGGTTGGCCTTGAACTGGTGGGTTCCAGTAATCCTCCTGCTTCAGCCTCCCAGGTAGCTGGGACTAGAGGCAGGTGGCCACCCCTGGCCAGAGGGAGAAGCCAGCCCAGGCCTGCTGTTCCCAGTCCGCACTGCTCTCTTGACTCTCTCCTTCCCGCCTCTGCTGAGGATGCAGTGGGAACCAAGCTCCAAAGTTTGGAGCAAGACATGTGCTGTGGCCCTGGTGGGGCGGGTAGGAGGATCCTCTGTGTGACAGTGCCACAGGCTGCACTTGTGGGCAGGCTGCGGGGATTCGTGGCCCCAGGCCCAGAGCAGGACCTCGGGGGATGCCCTGCTGGCTGCCCCACCGGCTGGAGCCTTGCCAGGCCAGGCCGCCATGCCCAGGGCCTGAAAGCCCCATAAACAGGGCAGAGGCCCCCTCCCCCCAGCCGTGGGACCGGGCTCCAGAGGAACAATGGTAAATTAGGTGTTACAGATGTGAAGGGTGCGCCCACCACGCAATTAGCCGGTGGGTCTGGTAGAAACATTAGGCACAGTCGGGGACCAGATGGCGGCAGGGCTCAGCCTCGCAGGCTGTCCCGGGACGTGCCTGGCTTCCTGGCGGAGGCTTCAGCCCTGGCAAGGAGGGGGGGGTGCAGGTAGGCCTTCCTGGGGCCCCCTGCAGAGCCCGCCCCTGATTAACTGCCCCCCCCCCCATGGGCCTCGCAGACCTAATTAGCACTTGCTAGAATTTCTGTTCAGCTCTACCATGGAGGGAGACCTTTCAAAGTTCCTGCTCCCTGGGCTGACCGCTCTGCAGCTGCAGGCCCCAGGTCGCCCTCTGGGGTGGGTCAGCAATGCCTGCCGATTTTAAGACTGTCCTGGACCTAAGTTCCCTTGGTCCACCTGGTTCAGAGCATGCTTAGTCCTCTGAGATACTAACTCTTACCTGTTTCCTGCCAACAAGGAAACTGAGGCTCAGAGACGCCACGTTGCTTGCTCCAGGTCACCAGTGTGACTTCCCAAATGTGGCCTGTGACTATTACACCACCCAGCAGTCCACCCCACCCCCTCAAGGCATGTTATTCCTGTTTCACGAGGGAAGGAAGAGCACAAAGGCAGAGGGACTGGCTCAGAGTCACACAGTTATTAAGCAACTGTGAAGCCAGGATTTGGAACTACGTCTATGAGGTGTATTGACCTTG